CAGAATGCAGTCAGTGACGCCGGCGCATTTTGGCTCGCTTCGCAGGCATGCGGGTCAGGAGGCAGTAGCCTCGGGCGTGGGCACAAATCGGGTCCAGGCGATCTTCAAGTAGTGCACGGGGCTGGCGAGCGCGTGCACCTCCCCCAGATGCCAGAAGTACGTCTTCGCATATGGCAGTACTCCCTACGCCCACGCCCTACGCCCTACGCCCTACGCCCTACTCCCTACGCCCTACGCCCTACGCCCTACGCCCTACGCCCTACGCCCTACTAAACCCTAAACCCTAAATCCTAAACCCTAAACCCTAAATCCTTAACCCTATAAGCCCTAAACCCTAAACCCTATAAACCCTAAACCCTAAACCCTAAAACCCTAAACCCTAAACCCTAATCCCGGCGGGAAGGACCCGAGGATCCCGGCAGCGCTGCGTCCAGGGCGGCCCGCTGGGCAAGGCCCGGAGCGTCGAAGTCCTGAGCTTTTTTTGGGAGCCTAAGGGGCTTTGAGGGTTTAGGGTTTTAAGGGTGTTAGGTTTTAAGGGTTTAGGGCTTTAAGGGTTCAGGGTTCAGGGTTTAGGGCTTAAGGGTTTTAGGGTTTTGGGCTTAAGGGTTTGAGGGTTTAAGGGTTTAGGGTTTAGGGTTTAAGGGCTTAATTTTGACGATGGTTATGATTATGAATTCAATGATGAACGCTATTGATATTATTATCAAGGCTAGGACTAGGATAGGATACTACCTGCTGAAGTGCTGTCAGGCGTGAATGTCTTTGAAGTGGGCCCTAAGCTTATGGGTCCCAATAGGGTTTAGGGTTTTGCTTCTGTTAACTCAGGATTTGGGTATCTGGGTCTTGCATGTAAGGGCCGAGCTTTGGGCGTGGCATGTTCCATGGCCCGTGCCAGATATCTCTACCGCGGCTACGACCTCGAAGACGACGAGGACAGGGAGAACGACTGTTACCACTGCCCTGCTGCGAAAACTACCGCTGCTACGACGATGGGAAAGAAGTGCTCCGTTCGACTATCACTGTACCCATAGGCCCCATAGTAGTTCCTTTGTATAGGATCCGATTAGGTAATCCCAAAAAGGAACTACTATGGGGCCTATGGGTAACTGCGTCAGGGATACTCACACGCAGACACCGCGCCTTAGTGCACTGGAAGAGACGCCTCGCCCTGGACCCTAAACCCTAAACCCTTAACCCTAACCCCTAAACCCTAAGCTTTAACCCCTAAACCGTAAACCCTAAACCTTTAACCCTTAACCCTAAACCCTTAACCCTTAACCCTTAAACCCTAAACGCAGGC